GGGTGAAATAAGTCAAGCAGAGAGAGTCAATTATCATATGGTTTCACTTATTTGTGGAGCATACAAATAACATGGAGGACAAGGGGAGATGGAGAGGAGAAGGGAGTTGAGGGAAATTGGAAGGGGAGATGAACCATGAGAGACTATGGACTCTGAAAAACAATCTGAGGGTTTTGAAGGGGCAGGGGTGGGAGATTGGGGGAGCCAGGTGGTGGGTATTATGGAGGGCACATATGGCATGGAGCACTGGGTGTGGTGCATGTGGTGCATAAACAATGAATTCTGTTATGCCGAAAAGAAATTAATAAAAAAAAGTATGTAGGAGTCAATCTAAGGATAGGTATGAATTACTTTTCTTGAGAATATTTAAAAATATTTTGTTGTTATAGATATATCATTAATGGATAATAAGTCTTAATAAATGAAGAACATAGTTATCCTTAATTTATTTATTTACCTTTTTAGAGATTTATTTATTTTAGAGAGAGAGCGGGAAGAGGGGCAGGGTGGGGAGTGAATCTCCTACAGACGCCCCACTGAGTGTGGAGCCTAATGTGGGACATAGTCCCACAACCCTGAAATCATGACCTGAGTCAAAATCAGAGTTGGATGTCCAACCAACTGAGCCACCCAGGTGTCCTAGTTATCCCTAATTTAAACTACAAAATGAGTGTAACTTAATTTCAATAAATTTTTCAGTTTGTGTGTGTGTGTGTGAGAGAGAGAGAGAGAGAGAGATTTGATCAGATGATTGCAAAACTTGGGAAAATAGGAGGTTAAAAATAGGCAAGCCAGTATTAGGAAAGAAAGCAAGAGTATATATGTAGTGGAGGGACCACTGGCAGTGCAGGTTGTCCAGGCTTATAAAGCTATATAGGAATTAAAGAAATGTGGTAATACAATAGGAGGTGGCAAATAAGACTGATGAAACTGCATAGAAATTTCAGAAAAAAGACCTATACACATGTGGGAACATTTTATATGACAGATGACATTGTAGATTTCTACAGTGACCTGCTCAATTAGTGGTGTGGTACAACTGGTTATACAGTAGGACAAATAAAATGCTTTACTACCTGTGAGTGAAGATAAACAGAATCTTTTCTTCTTCCCTTTGAGGAAATGATCTTGGGTTAGCCTTCCAGGACCCTGTTTCTCTGAAAACCTGATAAAGGTGGACTATCACCTGTGTTACCAGGCCCATTGCTTACGGTGAAAATGACCCTGGACTGCGAGGATTATGACCAGAACAATGATGTCTTCTTGAGGGTACAAATGGAGTGAATGTGGGAATCCCCTTGCTGTGATCCTGAGGTTGGGTTCATGAATTATTATAAGAGGTACTGGTTCCTGTGTAGCTTGAGGTTTCTAAGCTGGGAGACTTAGGTATACACCCATGCGGTGTCATTGCATCACACCTGAGCTCACACTAGAATGCTGTTGGACTCCTGATGAGGGTACACTTAAGGCTGTGCTGCTGACATGTTGTGGCTCTTCACCTGTATCCTTCTGCAAAGCTCATTTGGTACTGGGTGTGGCCTACTGGATCTGTGAATGTCCAGCTGACTACAAGATCACTATTGGTGGTTGAGCAGAGTGGCAGGGTACACTCTGCACTGAAATTGGTTCTAGGTGAATTAAATCCCCCCAAATTAAAAGCAAATGTTAAAAAATTTTGTAAAAATATTTTGAGGGGCGCCTGGGTGGCTCAGTGGGTTGGGCCTCTGCCTTCAGCTTGGGTCGGGATCCCAGGACCTGGGATAGAGCCCTGCGTCAGGCTCTCTGCTCAGCAGGGAGCCTGCTTCCTCCTCTCTCTCTCTCTCTGCCTGCCTCTCTGTCTACTTGTGATCTCTATCTGTCAAATAAATAGATGAAATCTTTAAAAAAATATTTTGAGAGATGGTATTTTTTCTTGCTGGCATAGGGAAGGACTTTTAAATTATTTTTATTTTAATTTTTGTTCTTCTACTTATTTTCATTTGCATATAGTTGAGACACAATGTTACATTAGTTTCCCGTGTCCAACAGTGATGCAGAAACTCTGTATGTTAGGGTATGCTCACCACACAAAAGGACTTCTTATGTCTTCTATATTATTCAAAATGGCAATTAGCTAATCCCCTAGAAATTAAAATATTTAGCAAACTATTAAAATATAAGTTAACTTTATATTTCCACCAATCCTTTTTCATATTAGGCTAAAACGTTATGTTTTGACTTGTTCAGCCAAATGAATACACTTGGCAAGAGTGCTGGGTAGTCATTGACATCTTTCCATTAACATGCTTGTTTCTAAAGTTGATTGTGTTTGGGTCCATGCTTGGAAATGACGGTTGCATGTACTCCCACAAGAGGTATTCCAGGCCTAAGAAGTTTCATGGAATAAGCAAAACACACACACACATTGCTTCTCGGCCTTTTGACAAAGATCAAGTGTAGCAAAACACACATACACACACACACCCACGTGTAAACATATTAGTAAGAGAGGAAAGATTAAGAAGTTCTACACAATCAGAGTCGTCAAAAGTCACTTCAGAAAAGATGGAAAGACATGGTATAGGCTATGGCTCAAGATAAGGCCTGAGAAACAGGTATGAGATGAGGATGGTCAGTCCGGCAGAGGCCAGACCATGGAAGGTTGAGGGGATTTTGGATCTACTGTTCTCTTTTGCTGAGGATGCTTCCCTTTCTCTTTGCTTAGCTCTTCCTTTTGTCTTTTAGGTACATGACAGTTACGTATCACTGTACTCTGTGACTGCATTAACATCACCAGCTGTAATTTGTATGGTTGCTTGTGTATTTCTTTCTCCTCATGAGAACACACCTGCTCTGCAGCAGCAGAACACACACCTCTCTTGTTCACTGTTTTATCCACAGCACTTAGAGCAGTATCTGTGCATACTAGGTCCTCAGAAAAGAATCATCAAATGAATGGATTAATTGAAGCAGAATTACTGAATCTTTATTTTAATGTGATTTCCCCCCAAATTATACTCAATTTTTTTTTAATTATAGAGGACTCTGAATGCAACAGAATGGACTGAAGTCTATGGGGCAGTACGGAATCTCATGGCAGAGATGGACTACTGGGTTAGATTACATAAGCACTAAAATAAAGATAAATACAGTGCTAAGAATTTCGTATTTACAGTAAACCAAGGATAAGAGCCTTCTCTGGGCTACAGTGATAATTTTTGATAAAAAATGAAGCCTATTTTTATCAACTTTTAGAAAATAACTTGGGTGATTCAATAAAAATTCACTTGGGTGTGCATAGTACTTTATACTCTTGTTTTGACAGATTGTAAAATATTTAATAGGGAGCAATACATTTCAGGTGATTTTCTAGGAGTAGAAATCACACTGACTGTGGTTTTAATTCTATTATTGAAGATTCTTCTTAAGAAGCTATAGAAAAGACATTTCTTTTAAACTACACATTCCTAAAATCATAGCCATAATTTTCTTTTCATTCTTTTTCCTGTAGGTTTTGGAAAATGCAGGTGGCTCAGAGAAGGTAAAACTCTCTGTTCAGAATTTTCAACACAGTAATTACGATGATCTTTTTAAAGATGCTACAGAAAGGTATAACCAATATGCTTATTTAGTGAGCTTTCTGTTCATTCATGCTCATAGCCCTCTCAGTGGAGACCGTGAATAAACAACCCTCAAATGTTTGATTAGTTTCTCAAGAGATAATTCTTTGTAGTAAGTACAACCTGATTTTGCTAGAAATAGGATACATTTATGACCTCATAAATATGGTATTAACACAATAAGATATTCCTAAGGAATTTAATTTCTCAGTTAACTCACGATTAGACAGTTCCAGAGTCTTTGTAAATGTGTTGGGAGCTTTGGAGAGGGCATTATGCTTGAGGTAAAGTAAAGCACAGGACACAATTAATTCCACTAGAAATTATATGGATTTCCAAGAAAGAAAATAATGTGCTAGAAACACTAGAACTGTTAGATGATGAATTCTTGGTACTATATATGAAAATATTTAAAGAATATTTAAATATTTAAATATGTAAATTTCCATTAGGAAAAACAAAAGAAACAATAGCATTCATGCTTATAAAAATGTTCAAATTTAGGTGTTACATGCAAAATAATATCAAAGAAGAGAACATCTTAATGAGCCATATTTCCATATAGAGATTTATAAGTAATATTAGCTGTAGTGACTGGAATAGCACTGCATAATAATGCATGTAGTATAAAACTTGCATATGCAACTTTCAAAAGTGCATTAAATGAACAAATAAATAATAGTTCAAAAGACATTTTGAGATCCTATTATATACTAATGGTATATACCAATTATTAGATGCTAATTATATACTAAGAATTGTATTAAAATGTAAAATATTACACAGTTCTTGCCCTTTAGTTTATAATTTAATTAGGGAAACAGATATGTAAAAGACAAATTTAAATACAATATAATAAGTACTGTTATAGAGCCAAAGTCCAGGGATTGTGAATACAGAAGACAGAAATATGTATGGGAGAGTTTATCACCAACTTATTTGAATAAAAATATTTAGGTTGGATTTAGGATCTTAAGTAAGTATAAATCTAGCAGGGGAAAAGGGAAGGAAGAAAATGTCAAGCTGGGAGAGGTTTGAACAAAGATAAGTTGTGAAAATATCTTAGTAATGGTGAGAAATATTATGTGTTAAGAGCTCTAGGGTACTTGTGAATTTGAATGCCAGGAAGCTTGGGAAGATAAGAGGTACAGCCAAAAATATAATGTGGGCCAGAGTGTGAAGGAACTTGATATACATGAAACCAAGGAGTGCATATTTTAGTCAGTTTGTTAGCATTAGGAGGAAGTACAGATGGAATTTTTCTTGTTGTATTCATGCATATGTCTGTCTACCCATCTAGGAAGAGGATTGTGGGTAGCAAGGTGGATGATATCTGGCAAGAAATGGGCAACAATTAGATATTTATAGTAATCCAAAAAAAAAAAAAAGACGAGAAGAAGAACGAATAAGAAACTTGAAATGACTCACAGAAGCAAAAGAAAAAAGGCATTTATTTGGTTAAGGTTAAAGCATAAGATGCACAAAAGAGGTTAGTAGGCATGATGATGAAAACAGTAGGAAGGGGCCAGATTGCCAGTAACTTAAACTTCTGTGAGGGGCCTGGGTTTTTCCTGGAGCTGGTGGGTGGGTAGAATTAAATTTGAATTTAGGGAGAGTTTTCTCTAGACGTCAGAGATTAGAACCAGAAATCACATTAAGAGGCTTCTGTTAAGTGGGGTTGCAAATGATAGTGCAGCAAGAAAATGGAGCAGTGAGAAGCTGGAAAGGAACAGGAAGAGAGTAGGGCTAGTGTTTGAAAGAGAGAAAGTTGAAAAGGGTTTCTATTTTTTTTTAAATCATTTTTTAAAATTTATTTTCAGCATAAAAGTATTCATCGTTTTTGTACCACACCCAGTGCTCTATGCAGTCCGTGCCCTCTCTAATACCCACCACCTGGTTCCCCTAACCTCCCACCCCCGCAACCTCCTCAAACCCTTCAGATTGTTTCTATTTTTAAGATCAGGGGGAATCAAGTATTCTTACATTATGGAAGAATTCATACATGGGGGAGATTATATATATATGAAAAGATAATTTTAGAAAAAATTGTCTAGGAGACAGAAGGCATGGAGTTGAATGTGGAAGGATTAATTCTGATCAGGGAGAAAGTAAGGAATAATTGAAAATGTTGATGTAACTATGTACACATTTTAAAAAAGTATATTGAACGTGTTCTTGCTTTCTGGCTTTCATTTTCAAGAAGGGGCTACATTTTTACGAAGGCAGAGAATTAAGATAGGGTCTACATGAGGATGGTGGTTCAGAATTAGCTGCCATGGAAGAAAGATAGAGGAAGCTAGACCGAAACCTGCCCATGTTTTCCAGATGGCTTTCTGTTGATAACAGAGACCCCGGTGGCCTCAGTACTTTCTTCCTGCAGCCGAGGTAAAGGACATTAGTTGATCCAACATGCTTAGTTTGCAAGCCAGGCAAATGTGGGAAGAGATGGGAGTTTGTGATCAGACGTTGGGACTTGGGCATGATCTCTGTGGAAGTGGGCCCTCTTCAGGGGTGGACGACAGAAGTACGTAGCTGAACTAAAGTGGAGATGAGTGTCAACACATTAATTAATACAGATTACCAGAGTGTCTTTCATAAATGTACATATTCTTTGAAACCATGAACAAATACATAAATTTCTTTTCTAGTGAGAGTGAGGGCACACTGGCCACCGGTGGCTTGTTTCTCAGAGACAAGTGGAGCAGTGAGGACGAAGAGCTTCCAGGACCATCCCACACTGTCCCGCCTCAGCTTGCCGGTACGACATCATCCTATTGCTATTAGCACATTCTTGAAGAGGCTATATTTCAGAGGTAGGAACGAAGACATTTCTAATATGAATGCAGGAAAGAGCTGGGAAAAACTTTTTTAGATGGGGAAAGCATGGTTTCCTAGGATTTTCTTTTTTTAAGAATGAAGAAAATGCTCCACACCCCACCTTTGTAAGGGTAAATTTCTCCCTTTCTTTGAGTATTTTAATATATCAAACAATGTCAGCTTAATAAAATGAGCTATTTATATTTTCTTATACTAGGAATTAGAGATTTGTGTAGACTTGCATTATGATCTGCTTCCTCATTTTCTTAATTTTAATTTGTTGCACAGTATATACTTTATAAATAAAATAGGAATGCTTTTTGATGACACATAGTCATATGTTGTAAGGAAAAAAGAAAATACAAATGTGTATAAAAAATAAATCATAATACTGAAGAATATTAAAAATTTTGTGTGTATATGTATTTAATCTGTATGTAATGTAAACAGAAATATAACCATGAACATATCTAGATTTATACATATATAAGTTATAAAAATTATAAAATAACATTTAAATTTCTATATATGTAAAATTTGTGTGTGAGGTTGGGGAATCCCATACTTCAGAAATCCCTGGGGGCTCCTGGATGGCTCAGTGAGTTAAGCCTCTGCCTTCCGCTCAGGTCATGATCTCAGGGTCCTGGAATCGAGCTCTGCATCGGGCTCTCTGCTGGGCAGGGACCCTGCTTCCTCCTCTCTCTCTGCCTGCCTCTCTGCCTACTTGTGATCTCTCTCTGTCGAATAAATAAATAAAATCTTCAAAAAAAGAGAGAATTATAGAGAACATGCATTTCAACATTAGATTGAACATCAAAATCTTCTCTAATGACTTTTAAATTTGGAAAATGTCAAATCTAATTAGGGCAATCTCACACTCTAATTATTAATATACGGTCTGACACAAAAATAGTTTACAAGAAAATACTTATTAAGTACTAAAGTATAATTTACATATGGTAAAATTCATCCTTTTAGCATGCAGTTCTGTGAGGTTATAGACAAAGGTCTACCATCACCATCAAGATGCGTTTCCTTCTTTCTTCATCTTTCTCGTAGTCGGCCTTTTGTCGTCGGTCTTTTGTTGTTGGTCTTCCCTCACCCCACTGCCAGTGCCTGGCAACCAGTAATCTGATCTTGTTCTTGTTAGCTTTGTCTTTTCCGAAGTGTCATATAAACAGAATCATAAATATGTGCCTTTCAAGTGCCACTTCTTTCACTTAGAGCAGTGCTTGGTATTTGTTTCCACCGTTGTTTTTATTGGTATTTAATTTTTTTCCCCTAAATAGCATTCCATTGTATGGCTATATCAGTTTGTTTATCCATTCAGCAGTTGAGGGACCTTTGGGTGTTTCCACATTTTGACAATTATGTATAAAAGCACTACAAACATTCACATACTGGTTTTGTGTAAATCTGCGTTTCCATTTCTTTAAAGTAAATATATCTAGGAGTGGGATTTCTGAGTCATAAGTCTATAACTGATAGACTGTTTTCCAAAGGGGCTGTACCTGTATGCATTTTATCTTTTTTCTTCCTACTCTTTTTTCTTTGTGTTTCTGTTTAAGGTAATTTTTACCAACTCATCTGCAAATTTATTTACTCTTTCCTCAGCTTTGTTAGTCTACTAACAAATAAGCCCATTTGAAAACATTCTTTAGCTCTCCTACAGAGTATTTATTTATTTATTTATTTGAGAGAGAGTGCACTCGAAAGCCAGCATGAGTGGGGGGGAGGGGCAGAGGCAGTGGGAGAAGCAGGCTTCTGGCTGAGCAGGGAGCCCTATGTGGGGCTTGATTCCAGGACCCTGAGGTCAGGACCTGAGCTGAAGGCAAACTGAGCCACCCAGGTGCCCATCTTACAAAGTTTTCTAGTGAGAAAACTTACATTTGACTTTATCTTGTAGTTTCCATCTCTGTTCAAATTCCCTATCTGTTCATAGTTTGTCCACTTTTTCCATAAGGGCTTAAACATATTAATCATAGTTATTTAGAATTCCCTCTCTCATGATTTTAACACATGGGTCATATCTAAGTTTTTTCCTGTAGAATTGCCTTGGTTTTTTTTGACGTATTTTGTCATTGCTGCTGCTGCTTCTTGTATGTCTTGTAAAGTTTAGTAGGGTGTTGATTTGGGGTGTAGAAAAGTAGAGATTGAGGTAAGTAGAATTTATGCCTGGAAATAGTCATGCCTGTTCCGCTGCTAGGCCATTAGTGTAGGTTCTTGATTTAGCATGTTTGGGACATGGGTTGGATTTTGGTTTTGTGTTGCTGTCATTACCTACGTGAACTTTTGACTTAAAAATGTGTCAAGATTTAAATTGTGCCTAGGGTGGCAACTGCAATGCTAGAGGGTTTCTCTTCACATTCCTGTTCCGTCCTTATTGTAAGCCTTCCTGGTGTACCTGTGGTTCAGAAGGGCTCTTCCCCACACTCATGCTCTAGTGGTAGCCTGGTACTGGCTGGCCTGCACAGGAGGGCGGAGTTCTTTGTGGTCATAGTCCAGTCTCAGCCTTTGGCAGGTTCTCTGTTCCTGGTTGTCAGGGGAGAGAGTTTTGTCCGTGATGCTGTCTCTCCTCGCTGTGACATTCCAATTCCGCTTTGTATTTTTGGCAGGCTTACTGCGGGAGAAGTTTCCTGTTCCTTGTTTAGTGGTAGGACACTGATGATAGTATCGGTATAGGGTCCTGAGCTCAGGACCATTTCTTGCCTTTCCTCCCGGAGGTGAGTGTTTTTCTTTAGCTATTTCTAACTGCATTGGTTCTTCACCTATGCACAACAGAGTTTGCTGCTCGTCCTCCTTCAGCTGAAGACTTTTCTCTGGGGAGACGGTAGATCCAAATGGGGCTTTATACATTTTTCACAGTGGCAGTAACTCTTCTCTAAGCCTGTGCCACTGAGGGATTCCTTCCATTTCCAACTCTGTGTCATTTCTTTTTCTTTTCTTTCTTTCTTTCTTTCTTTTTTTTTTCTTTTTTTATGAGCATCAGTTGGAGACCTGTTGAGTCTGCAAGGGTGTTGCAAACTCTCTAGTATCTGTGGCTTCCCAAAATTCCGTGCTCTCACATTAGGCCACATTCAGCCTTCAGCAAGATATTAAGTTTTTTTAATCTGAATTCTTTTCCATCTTATGGAAATCCTATAAATTAATCCATTCTCCAGTTGATTTTTTTCCCATTAATAATCTGTAACATGTATTCTTATACATATTTCCTATGTACCAGTGCTTTTTTTTTGTTAGATTCCCTTGGTAAGTCAAGGTTTATATTCATTTTGTATTTAATAGATAATATCAGACTCCTTTCCAGAGGTTAGAGCAATTTATTCTTGCTCTAGCTGTTTTGAAGGGTCCAATTTCCCATATTTTTATCACCACTAGATAACCCTTTTCCCAACTTTTGCCAATCTGATGAATTAAAAATAGCAGTTCCTTGTTACTGTAATTCGCATTGTCCTGATGGCTAATGAGAACGAGTATCTTGTTTGTTTATTAGCCTCTTTTGTTTGCATATTTGTACCCTTTACCATTTTTGTCTTATTATTTTGTAGGAACTCTTTACATTTTGGAAATCCTAACATCTTGTCTGTCTGAAAATATAAATTCTTCTCCTGCTCCATACCTAAGAAAGAAAACCTTCATAACCATTGTGGGTTTCTAGAGTGTTTAGAAAGTCCTTTACTAGAAGAATGTGCAAATACTCTCTTAAATTTCTCCCAGAATTGGGGCGCCTGGGTGGCTCAGTGGGTTAAAGCCTCTGCCTTCGGCTCAGGTCATGATCTCGGGGTCCTGGGATCGAGCCCTGCATTGGGCTCTCTGCTCGGCGGGGAGCCTGCTTCCTCCTCTCTCTCTCTGCCTGCCTCTCTGCCTGCTTGTGATCTCTCTGTGTCAAGTAAATAAATAAAATCTTTAAAAAAAAATTTCTCCCAGAATTTTCATTCATTCATTCATTCATTCATTCATTCATTCATTCAGTTTTACCTAGGTCATTAATCTGTCTGCTGTTAATTGCTAAGTACAGTAGACATGTAGAAAATGGACTAGACAATTATACCAGCACCATTCACTAAGCCACTTTCCCAATTAAATTTAAATATATGTTTATCACATATTAAATTCCCAAAAATGTTTGGATCCTTTTCTGTTCTCCAAGCTTTCCCATTGATTGTCTTGTTTGTTCCTTTGGACATATTATTCTGTTGTGATTATAGCAGTTGTAAGTAATATCTAGAAAGATAAATCTTCCCTTAATTTCTAAAAAAAATGAATGTAAAGGGTATTAAGAGGTGCAGACTTCCAGTAATAAACAGATCATTGGATGTAATATAAAGCATAGGGAATGTAGGCGATAATATTGTAATAACGTCGGTGACAGACGGTAAATAGACTTATTATGGGGATTATCTCATAATATGTAAAGATACCAAATCACTCTACTCCTAAAACTAATGGGATACTGTACGTCAATTATACTTCAATCAAAAAATTTTACAGGCTGTTTGGGCTATTGCTACATACGGCGTTTTAAATTATTTTGTTCATTCCCATGTAAACCCCTTTTTTTTTTGTTTTTTTCTTTCCCCAAATTTTTATTTAAATTCTTGTTAGTTAACATGCAGTGTAATATTTGTTTCAGTGTAGAATTTAGTGACTCATCAGTTACATAAAACACAGCACATCACAAGAAATGCTCTCCTTAATACCCATCACCTATATAACCCACCCCCGCCCCCACCTTCCCTCCAATAACCCTCAGTTTGTTTTACATGGTTAAGAGTCTACTTCTCAGTTTGTTGCTCCTTCCCCCCACCCCATGTTCTTTTGTTTTGTTTCTTAAATTCCACATGTGAGTGAAATCATACGGTATTTGTCTTTCACTCACTGACTTATTTCTGTTAGCATCATCCTCTCTAGCTCCATCCACTTCCTTGCACATGGCAAGAT